TGAAACTGTTAAAACATAACCCCCACAACAAAAAGATAAAATTAATAAATCAGAATTATCACGCTTTGTCAGGGCACAAAGACTTGCCATGGCAGGACCACTGACTTTCCTTCATACCACAGAGAACAGATGTCTTTAGTGGTTGCCCATCTCTAATTTTCCTTAAATGCCAGGGAAGCAGAGCTCCCTAATTTGCTGCTGTTCTTCCTCCTGCTGGATTTACACCATCAGCACTTACTGATGTTCAGTGCATCTTTTCCACTACACGGCATGGATTCTGAGGGCAAGTTTTGACATGAAGATCACTGACACTTGGAGGCCTAACCTGACAGCATATACACCCCTTACCCTCACAAACTGCAACACCGTGCTTTGCAGTTGTCACAGACTGGATTTAGCTTGTGTTCCACTTTTATAAAACACTGTAAATCACTCATAAAATTAACTTGCCAGAAAACTCTGAACACCTGTCATGTTTAGTTAGCCTATACTATGACAGGCATTTTGAAAAACATGGGTTCTTGCAGTTTAAGTTACTCTTCAGCTTTTTGTTTCAAGGGAAACATCCTTTAAGGAAAAAAAAAAAAAGGCAATAAATATGTTTATTTTAAGAACAGCTTGCCAATGAACAACATAATTTTCATAATTTACCATGACTCAGCAGCTGATTTAGAATTTCAGCCTATAATTACAGAGAGAAAGGAAGTCAAAAAGTCTTTCTGCTCATTCAACTAAAGTCTTAAGTAAACCAAAAAGAATCTTTCTTGGAAATACATTTAGTCTCACAGTAGTAATGCAGCCCTTTTACAAATTTTTATTTGTAAAAACATCTGCAAAAGCTTCATATAAAGCTGCAGCTAGTAACTGAGGTCAACTCCTAAATCAAATGCATTATTAGGGCAAGGTATGAATCTCGCTGCCCAGTGCATGTGCATGGATCCATGTGTTACAGTGCAAGTCTCTGCAGATTTACAGGACACATCTTTTTCTCAGAACTGTACTTACAGTCTGAGCATTTAGACCTAACAGCCTCCATACTTTGTGCTGTTTCACATGCAATGTATAAAGCAAGTTATTTGTAATATTGGTTCATTTGCCAGTTTGCAAGCTATTTATCACAGCTCACACATCCCAGCTCAAGGTCAATACTTTCTCTTACAACAGGAAGGATGCACAGCAGCAGTGACAGATGGTCAAGTGCTGAAGTGTTTTGGGGAGGGAGGCAGGTGGGAGAGCTCATTAATAGGAAAAAACAGCAGGAAAGAGGATGAGGAAAGAAAAAGGAATCAGTCAAGAAGCGTGGTCTGAAGGGAACAGTCAAGATCCCAAGGGAGTTTGGTAGACGCGTATCTTCCGGGCTTTTAGTGTGTGGCTTTATTAGTTGCATGTTTAATGCAATAAATGCTTTCCAGAATGTTTAGGCTTCCAGATCATGACAGAAAATTTCCAGTGTGTTGCATCAAAGTACCCTGGAAACCAGTGACCTTAATTGTGGAGGTACATCTGACCTTTCATGGTGCGTGCATGCTCCTCCCAGTCTGTAAACTCCTGGGGAAAAAAAAAAATCAACATACCCTACACACACACTGATTTGTTTTTAATCTAGATTATGAGGCATTTATGAATTTACAAAGAGCTCTCAGATATCAGCAATCACACTTCACAGGAGTCTTGCAGTCAAACTCGCATGATTCAAGTTCCTCCAATACCGTCCCAGAAAGCACACTGAGAACCTGTATGACATCTTGGGAATGTCTCTCCCTTTTCTTTTGACCAGGTAACAAGAACAGTTTTCATAGTAGCTCTTTCACTGAAGAATATTGCCAGTGTTAGGGCCAGAAAGTAAAAATAATTTCTAAAAAAAGCAAACAGAAAAGCAGACCTCTCTCACTGGATCCTGGACAAGATTTTAATGGAACTAGGATGCAAACTACCACTTTTTGGGTAGGATTCATTTTTAGCTGGATTCCCAAACCAGTTTGTGAATCAGATATGCCCCAGGCTCAGCCAAAAGGAAGGGGTGGGAAAGCATGGCTGAGAAAAAGGAGAGAGGACAGGACCACCAGAAGCCAGATTCACATCCATTTATTCCACACTCCAATAGCTCTGCACTTGCAGAACTACTTTGTGCGCATCTCTACTATTTTTTTTTCCTACAACCAAAGCAATAATCCTTTTAAATCAGGTAAAATGTAGAAAACAAAGAAAACTTATTTTGAAACATTTTTGGAGATTAATGAATCACTTTCCAACAGTGTGTTGTATTTCAGTAACAGAAATGCCAAACAATATCAAACTATGTTTGACCTGCTCCTCGTGCCAAGAAACATAAAAAGGGGCCAGCAGAGGCACAGCATGCGGGAGGAATGCAGTTCCTCTGCTACTTAAGACAAAATAATCTACTTAAATATCCCAATTCTTCACAAGCTCAGAAAGAGGGAGGGCAAGACCACAGCAAGCTCGGAAAGGCAACTGCCTTTGAAAGGCGCTCAGTTTCAGTTAGTTGTTGTTAACACCTAAGTATGACCTCTCTACTGTACTACCTATTTACTTGCTCAGCTGACAGGGCAGTTATTTCCTCTTTCACTCTTCTATAGTAATACTTTAGCTGTAAGGCCTTTTAAGACTAGAAAACATTCTATCCATATTTGGGCACCTAGCTTCAAGATTTGTGCTTTTTTTCTTTTTTTTTTTTTTTTAATATCAAGTGACAGATTCCACCTGGTATGTAGGTTTATGTTCCTATGTGGATAAATCTGACACTCAAGATTTCATACATTGATTTTTTACATTGGCCAAAGTGACCAAAATGGGATTACAATGCATTGTAATGCAATTTCCTATGGTATGTGAGGGGGGGAAAAAAAAAATAAAAATAGTACTTTGAAATTGTTTAATAACAACGGAAAGTACACTAATAACAACTATCATCAGTTATCACAGTACAGAATATCAAATAAAACCAAAATTAAATCCCCTTTGTCATTCTTTTGCACAGTCTCATAAACAAATACAATGATACCCTATGTCCTAGTCATAAGAAATCACTGTTGTCCACAAGAAAACAGGAAAAGACTTTTTGC